TATGTGCAGGCCCACAGTACCCATTCAGACAAAATTCAACAGGGTATGTGCAGGCCCACAGTATCTATTTAGTCAAAATCCAATACCATGTCGCAAGTTCCCAGTACATGTACATTACACATGTACCTAATTCCACAAAATCAAACAACTTACCGGTACTGAAGTTTAACTAGTTAGGGATTGTTAGGGTGAAAGAAACCTTTTCTCTGAAGTATTTGAAAGGAAGAAATGGCTGAATTTAATATACTGCTGACTTTAGGACTTCAGGACCAAAAGCCCTCCAGACAACTCACACAAAGATCGATTTTAAAAAATAAATTTAAAACAAAAATCTGATTTAAATGTTAAAAAACTTATTTTTTCTATTTTTCTAAACAATCTAGATTTTTACCCTGGTCATAGGCCTTGTATTTTTTTTCTTTATTAAGAACACAACTGACATATTTTCCAAAATCTGTTACCGGTAGTTCTATGTGTGTGTTGGGTAAGCCAAGTACCAGTACAGGGTATCGGTACACATACATATACATGTAGTAGAGCTACATGTAGCTTGCATACTGGTAGGGCCCTGAGTAAAGAAAACCATGCAAATTATAAAAAAAATCAGGCCAAATTTACTCAGGCTTCAGGTGACAGAATTCTTCAAAATTTTCAGGACGAAAAGACAACATGGACAAGGTTAACGATAGCAAAGTTTGAAGTCTCATTTCAATCTGAAGGGTGACTTTGCTCTAACATGTTGCACCCGAGGGTGAAGCCAAGTGATTTCAATGTGAAGAATAAGACTGGCTGGGCAGGAACCTGATATGACTTTTGACAAAATTTGACTGATGCAAACCTGAAGACGTATCTCAACACTGTGAGTCCCAAATTATCAGATCAGCATTGGATCAAGGTCTGTGTACACATGGCTAATAGCTTGATCGGTTCCTTTAGAAGGTCAAGTACATGTACATGTATGCCTGTTGAAGGGTGGTAATCAACACAAAGAACACTGGCTCTTGAATGGATTACTGACCTACACACCTTTTGAAGTATTTGTTTATTTGAAATCATTTTACAAGTAAGTCCTCTATTTTACAAGTAAGTCCTCTAAAATTTACCACTATGCATGTGACCTATAACAGTTAACACATTTGTTGCACTTCAACTCAAGAAGTAGGCTTGAAATCAAGTCGGTAATTGGCTGGGTGTAGTCCACCTTCCTCGCGATGCGTATGGTACGTGGTACGGTTCGGCGAGCAATTTAATAACATGCGGGAACGGTCAGTGCAACCTCGCTCCCCAATATGCGTGTCCAACTGTGCCTAATTAATGACTTGAACAATTTGCAAGCCCTTTTGTGCACAACATATGGGGCTTGCTACCAAAATTAGATGGTGCACTCTGATTGGCTAAGAATCCTGATAATTCGAATATTTATTTCAGGGGCAGTTCAATTGGCCAGTTGAATGCTTATTAACAACAACCACAGTCTCGTTCATTTACATTACCCTAAAAAGATGATCTGCCATAAAAAGATTGATTCTCTGACCAAAAAATGATAGTTAATAGATTTGTTCTTGAATAGTTATTGCCTATACTTTGTCTCTAAGCATCATATTAAAAGGGATATTAATGCAAGATATGAAAGAAACTGGTACTAATCAATTGCAGGCAGTCCTTATGAATAAATGGATGAGTCTGTTCTGTAGCATAAGCTACATGTACTATTGGCACTCTACATGGAAATTTATGAATCAAGCAGTTCCGTTGTTGCATACATGAGTATCTATCCAGAATCAGGTTGATCAAGTCATTAGGTGGGCACAGGGGTCATGGGCTGATGTGCGCCAAAACCCGGGGCTGATGTGCGCCAAAACCCGGTACTTAACAGTCCACGAGGCAAGGGCAGAATCGGTGTGGCATGCTGGAAGGATTGCGGGTAACAATGAATGGGCTCCCCACTAATTGTAAAATGACGCAGTGTATGGAGGACAAACACGACCGATTAACCACTTGATTTCAAGTCTACTCAAGGAGCAACCGGCCCCACATAAAGTGGCTAAAATCTACCAGAAGATATACATGAAGTTAAATCCTACAAAAACTTGTGTAGGATTTTCAATGATGGAGGAGGTTTGGGAAACTTTGAGAAAAGTTTACCTGTTTGTAACAGTAACATCATCAGTAGTGTGAAAGGTAGAAACAGCTGAGAATGAATGTTCAGAGCAACTTTGATACTCCTAAGTTGCCATGGGGCTTGGTCTAGTGAACTCGAAATCAGTGACAAGGTCAGCATCACAGAGTTTCTCTCATGATAAGGGTTTTGGCTGAGTTTTGTTCTGGATTGTGTGCAGCAAGGACACAGCCCAGGGTCTTGAGTTGTTTCCACTGGGCCCATCTTCAGCTCCTATGGTTTTGTTCGCTGGTTTGGTTCTCCAATGAGCACAGCAGATCCCTCTCCTGGACGGAATTCTGGATAAATTAACAAACGAAATCAAGTTGTCAATGAAGCAAAAGAAAGAAAAGGTTATTTGTAGACTGGTACCAGTACTGAAGATCACCAATGGTACACATGAGCATTACAAACACGTACATGTACTAGAGAGGTACGTACATATGTGTTTATGTACATGTACCATTACGGTACGGCATGGTCTATATGAAAACAAGCACGTCATTTCAAACAATGGGAGACTTTTAGACGCTGGCTGCAGCAAATATACCCATCCTTTTAACAGTTTTGCGCATGCTCAGAACTATGCGCACATGCACGGAATAACGTGCACGTTCAGCACTGGTAAAAAGGAGTGGTCCAGAGTACTGTTACGCTCTCACAAACTGTTCCCCTTCATGCATGTAGATTATAGAGTACACGCTACTACACAAACCACATACCCCACAGCGAGCGCGCAATGACCATCTACATGTAAATTATACGGATCGTACACAACGCGTTGCATTCCACGCGCGACCCCGTTGCTCTATGCTGCAACATGCCCTTGAACCGCAACTCTGAAGCACACTTCCAACTTAGTCATTTTCCCCCAAATCTTCCTCGGAGTCAATCCTACTTTCAGTCGCACATATAACCCGTACATTCTACCCACACAGACCCCCAACTCATACCGTATGTGTCCCGCCAAACCACACACCGAAAGCCTGTGTCCGGTCACGGCACAGCGAGGTCAATTATCTCCGCTCACCCTCAGTTTTACCCTGTAAGAATTACGTGTAGATTTCCTAGCCATCCAGAGACTATGTGTTGTACACAACCCAATGTACCGAGAAAGGCTCACCCTTTCGTTTCCATCGTTGACCAAGTCCCCGTAGCTCACCCACGAACAGCCTTTCACCCTCCCGCTCCAAAACTTCTCGGACCTTATCGCTCTCCAGAAACTAAGTCAGCGAGGACCAAGTGTGTACAAAATCCCCATAGACTTTTCTTCCATAGACTTTCTACATGTATGAATTATTTATAGCCACCCTAATCCAGTGCTCCCATTGGCTAAGACGCGGTCCCAAAAGTCTATATAAAGCGACCAGCTCCGGTGGTTAGCATCGATCATTCCCGAGCGGGCAGCTTTGGAGAAACAACTCCCTGACCGTTCATGAGAGTATGGCTCCGATATGAACAACCTTTCTATCACCCCCGAATAAATAGCTCAGATTTGGACGAGCACTACTTGAATAATATCCAGCCTTACTAGTAGCAGTTACTCATTGTAAATATGGAGAAGATGTAAATAATGCTTCCGAATAAAACAGTAGTGTGTGTATAAGTCAGTCCAATGACTCTTATTATTTATGATAACGACTCTCTACCCTAAGAGAGACGTTACGGTACGTTTCCTGCCACCAAGCACTTCCGAGTAAGTCTCTCATTTCCCTCATCTTTTGCTTGTCTTCAAATACACACAAGAATGTAATGAATTTTGGACACAGATTGGAAAGTATTTGCACCATTTTTATACATGATGTAAACTCACCACCATTTTGACCGTTTTTATTCTTGACAGGCCTACGCAAGGCAGTGTACAGGTACATATACGTATACATGTAGGCCTATGTAAATCATCTTATAAAGGAACTCTGGGGCAAATCAGTGTATGGGTTGACAACTACAATGACTACCATTCGTCACAGCCCAAAGCAAGCATCCAGTCACAGCGTGTGGCCCGACTAGGCTGCAGAGGGATCATTCATAATCATGATAATCGTGTAGCCTATAGGCCTACATGTACAGTACATGTATGTTGCGCGCTGGCTGTGACAATGTGCGACTATAAATGAAAACAAACGTTAGCGTGTACAGCCACCAGAAAGATTACAATCCTACCTGCTTCACACGGAATCTAAACAGCTTCTGATCCGCATGGCAACTGCTTAATATCTGCAAAATATACAAGGGTGTAAGATCAGGAAAAAATCCTTCCGAGCGTTCACGAAGTGTATCGATACATCCACACTGATACGACGTGTAACAAAATGATCTGCTCGCTAGCTAGCTGCGCGATGCGCGCTACGCTGTGAATGCAGAGCGCCCTCATTTGAAAGGTAAATGCCAGTCTATTTTCAATACACTGTAGCTGCAGCTGCAACATCAGGGGACGGTGCCGGTGGAGTACTACAGCCATTTTCCAATACTCGATTTCGGCTGCGTCGTAGGCTTCAACTTTTTTTACTACCCGACTTTGAAGTTGTCAGCGCAATAGTAAGTTTGATAGTGTCACCAAACATCAAGTGAGATGAAAAAGAGCCAAACAGTACAGTACTTCAATTTAATTTAACACTTCAGGCCCACAACCGGCGAACCTCCGCGGAGACAAAGTTGAGTATTGGAAAACGGCCTAGGTAACGGGTATGACTTGTCCTGCCATGGAAATTTGAACAACGGGGAGGGGGCGATGTTTATGATACAGATGTGTACCTGTAAAATGTATTACAGCAGAACGGCGTTTTTTATGATTTTTGTTGTTCCGCCTTTCTGAGTGCTATTGAATTCATTTTTGTTGTTGGGAAGTCCAAACATTTGTTCACAATTTTCTCCCGTACTTTTCTCACCACAAAAAATGGTGTGGGAGGGATGATTCAACTATTTAAACTATTGAATTTTATTAGCTGCAGCATGTTAAGCTCAGATATACGAAAAATCACAGTCATAGGACATGACTGAAAAAAAATTGGGCCTGCTATTTCGCCCGGGCGGATTAGTATTTCGCCCGGAGCTGATAATTATCCCTGGAGACTGGGTTATCGCTCACTTTTTGCAGGGGATGGATCATCCCCCACTTTTCGTTAACAGAAAAAAAAGATTTTTGCCTCATTCAGAATCAATTCAATTGCAAAGTTTCTCACGAAGTGAGCCCAGAGTTTGCTTGGGGGAGCCACAGATTGGGTTTGGGGAAGGGGGGCAAACTGATTTTTTTCTAAAAATCACAGTTCATTTTTCTTTGGTCTGTCCCCGCCCCCAAAATAAGGCGCTTGTACATGGTGCCTTGTACATGGGGCCTTATGGGGTACCGGAACGATGGAAGGTACCCCACGAGGCCAGTTTTGATCCACAGGAATTTCACGAAATAGATATTTCAAATTTAATCAAAAAGAAGGAATTTTCAAGTGCCATTCATCTATCGCAAATTGAAGTGTTTTATATAAGGGACATACGGTCGAAATTTCAACCCAGGAAACTGAATTTGGTTGAAATGGCAGTGATTTGAAATTTTTGCGTGTTGTGTGGGAGTTTTGTAGACGAAAACAAAGGAAATACCCCACAAGTATACATATGTAAGGATGAGTGTCTGTGCGGGGGGGTTGAATCTGTTCCCGTGTTCCTTCCCCGCTTGGACTCTAAATACGCCACCTCATTTCATCTAAGAGGGGAAAGGGGGTTTCCATGAGGGTACATAGCACTTAACTACGAACCGATCCTGAACGTCACGGGGATGCAGTTGCTCCTCCAACTGTAAACTACATGAAAGGGGGGGGGCAAGAACAAAGGAGAAAACAGAAAAAAATAGCTTTAATTTTTAAAGCTAGGTAGAGAGTGCTTTTTATTTCCTTTAACCTATTTTTGTCATATCTTTAGCATTATATTTTTCTTTTAGATTTTTCTTGGGGGAAGGCAAGTGCCCCCCCCCCCGCTTGCGAAGCACATTTACCCATACTTTACGATGCTAAGTCATCAGTCTCGATTTTGAACTTTCTCTCTGTCACGAGTAAGTCCCCCTTTTTAGGAGAAACAAAAGGCTCTTAAAATATATGTACGCACTAGCTTGTTCCGGTGCGTCAAAGACTTGATATCCAAGTAATAGATTCGTTCCACCATGGCCGCCCAAAATACTGATTTTACTCAGAAGAAATCGACGCATACACTTAGAAAGAAAAACTAAACATTAAACAAAGTGGGTTGATTTAATCCAAGATTTAATCCCAAAACATGCATGCCTGTTTCCTGGGAACTCCGTAAACTGAACAAATTCATTACAAAAGAACAACAACAACAACAAAGCACCAATTTACATTTAATTGCTATTTAAGTTACCAATTACTGATGCCGTCAACTCCAGTCCCTCTGAATATCAGTAGTGTCAATATCAATTTTTTTTAATCCTTATAACAAGTAGCTTTATATTTTTAAACTGCCTCCCTTCTGCAAATAAAAAGTGTCTTTGATATAATGTGATAAACTAGCCTAAGTTAAACTCTCTCCATTTCTCTAAAAAGAGAATAATATGCAAGGAAACAGCTCTTTTCATAGTCTGTAAAAAAATCTGTAATTTTTCAGGGAAATGCCAAGACTCTGAGCCCGCGCCCGATCAGGGTAGAGAACTGATGCGCTTTTGTTCAGGTTTTATGGCAAAAATGTTTGATAGATTCATAAGGATAATTTTCAATCAGTTCTATTGACTTTCTGTTTAACTGAATCTGCGGGGGGGAGGGTGATTAATTAGGATAATATCTCTGCCTTTGCTAAATGCAGGAGTGACAGTGCTCTTCATGAGTAACTTTGCATCTTCGACACAATGGCACAACGGTCTATCTGAGTCACCCCCCCCCCCGGAAAATCATCCCGCACTCTGACACACAAATCTACTAGTACGCCACTCTCCGGGCGAAATAGTAATCCGCCCGGGGGAAATACTTATCCACCCGGGCGAAATAGCAGGCCCAATTTTTTTAAAGTCATGTCCTATATATGCTTCCCTACAGATAGGCGCCGCTTTTGCATTTTGTTACTGTAGGCCTCAAGGCTGGGTAATTTTTTTAATTGAGGATTACGTGAGTGGCCCAACAATCATTCAGAGGCTTCACGCTATTGGCAGGTAAACCACACTTTACTTCAACAAACCGCTTCGACAAGTTTCCAACGTTTAGAACCATACGTTTTAGATAATTTCCTCAAAATCAGTAGATTAACGTGCACGAGCGTATAAAAATCAAGAGATACCACAACCAGGACTGATTGTGGAACCTTTTTTCCAAAACTTACATTTAGGGACTCGTAGCTTGTAACCAGGGGTATTTCGTTTACAAAAACCTATTGTCCGTTAACTTCTCATACATTTCATAACAGAAACGGTTGTCTACATTGTGACCTGAACACTATTTGGGGGAGGGGAGGATTTTTAAAAATCGGCAAGGTTAAGAATTGTATAATTGTCTTAGTGGGTCACAATAATCCCCCAACACATTAAAGCAAATTTAATCCTAAACATCCGACCAGGCGGCGCCGTCTCCGATGGGCCCCCGTGTCAGTGATGACCGTTCCAACGCGAACAACTGTGTGGTGTTTGCCCAACCAAGAGGGCGCTAGTAGTTTTTTCACTATCGATCAAGTGTTTAATTTTTTTTGCGCGGCGGCGCGGACGAATGGGCATGCGAAAAAAAAATGTGTACACATTTAGGGCTACGCCGACTGGAGTTCGTCGGAGGTAGAGAAGCTGCATTTCCCCATAGGAATCACTGAAGATTGACAGTATTTAGGGTGAGTTGTACTGTTGTGCATATTTCAGAATCAGAGGGTAAACTTTTTTGTTCACTCGCCATAACGTTGGCATGGTGGTACGTTAGACCTGTTTGCGTTGTAACAGTCAAGACAATTGCCGCGACGTGCATGACGTTACTACTACTAACTTCTTTCTACACTGTACACAAGTTGTACAGTGTGTCCGTGGTTTGTCACATGAAGTCGGGCAAGTTTGGCCATACCTGTTAATGAGATAACTATCAGGTACCAGTTACCTAATCATGCTTATTGTCAGACATGGCAGACTGTAAGTAACCATGGTAACCCGGCACTGGGAAAGAGGTCCATATTACTGACATCGTTTACCACTGAAAATTTTGAAATTCTGAAATTTAGGTGACGCCCTGCCTGTCCCTGTGCATGCATAAGGAGCCAAGGCCCCAGCCGGGACAGTAGGGACCAACAAAAATGAAAGTATGTCTTTTCCAAGTGGGCCTAAATCATTCAATATTTTCACTGCTAAATTCTCCTTTAGTTTTGGGGCATGTTGTCACATTTTAGCTTACACGTAAATATTAAACCACTGCAAGGGAAAATGGGCCTACATGTAAGTTGGTAAGTGATGGAACTCTCACCTTGCACTGTAGGCCAAGGCAAGGGTAGCTCCATGGTAGGGCTAATATAAAAGCAATATTCTGCATTTAAAGTTCCATAAACATGCCAATCATGTTCATGTATTCATAAGAGCCCTTTTATGAGATGAGACTGGCTGCCATCCCTGATGGCCATTTTAAAAACTTGTCTGTGTAAGGCGGTAGAGTTTCATACATGGGCTTATTCATTTTCCCTTGTAGTGTACTAGTGTTTAATTAGCCATCAAAAAAGATGAAATGCTTTGATTAGTCAACTGTAGCAGGGAAACATTGAGGCACTTAGTCTTGGCATTTTCAGACCAGTTTCATGGGCTTTGTGCACATAGTGCGAAGTGATGCCCATTTATGGAACTCTTTCCCTTTTTATGTTCATGTAAGCTAAAATCTGTAGTGGCCAGATGCACAACTTTTTCCTCGCATTGCATTGCCGGTCAGTTACAAGAAATCTGTTTTAGCCTCAATATATACCTCTCCTTTTCAAAATGTTTTCCAGAGGTGATTATCAATATTGAAAGAAAAGGAGATTTGTTCATACCGGTAGCACCTAAATCAAGAGATGGTCAACTTTCATGTACATGTAGTACACCCAGCATAAAATTTTAAGTTTGATTAGAAATCCTATGCATCCGTTTCAGGGAAGACTGTCCAAGAATTGTAAAACTTTATAAGGTCACAAACCAGAAAAATCTTCATGCAAAGTTTTACATTCAGTGAATATGGCACAGCCTGACAAGTACCAGGTACCAAAGTGTTAAATTGTGCAATGTGAATTTTATGCCCATCATGTTGTTGCTATGGCAGCAAAACTACTTGTAGACCCTCCCTAGTTTGAAACCTCCGGAGAGGCTCTGTACCTAAGTACTAAATAGATGAAGTAG